ACTTCCTAGAAATGGTGGCGGCCGGGGGCGGGGGGGTGGAAAAGCAAGAGAAATTAATCTCCGGGGAGGGGTGTGAAGGTGTTGGGAGTCGTTCCTCAGGCGGGCGGAGGGGAGCGGGGCCGGGGGTGAGGGTCCCTGGGTCTGGCCGAGCTCCCTCAGCCCTTGGCCGGAGCCGGGGACGGGTCCCAGGGCCCGACCGGCGCCCTCTTGCCTCCTCCTCCTTCTCCGGGTGCTTTGCGGCCAGTCCGGAGCCGGTGGTTTGGGGTGTTTCGGAGCGTTTTGGAGCAGCCCTGCGAAGCTGAGGCGGGGGAATGCCTCCGAGGTCTTGTCCTGAAGAACTACAGCTTGGTAGGCATCGCTGTCTCGCCTTCAGGTACCCTCGAGGAATTTAATTTTGTGGAGGTTAATTAAAAGGCTGTTGTAAAGCAGGGAGGCTAAAGCTGTTCTGACAGCTCGTCTTACTTATTTATATATATTTTTTTAAATATTTACGTGAGTTTTTCTCCTCTAGCAGCTCTTAAAGGTGTTAACTGTTCTTCTGAATGTGCAGCAATTTTGCAGCAGTGTGGAATGTGCGTTTTTTATTCCCCTTTAAACTTAAGATGCGTTTTGTGCTGGGTCTGCCTTTCGTTTCAACACGGTAATGTCACTCGAACGCCGTTACGGTTCTCCCGGTTACTTGGCACTGAAGATTTCTGTGAATATCGCTTGCTGCAGTATTCTCGTAGCTAAGCTTTTCTTTTTTATAACTCCTCTCAAACATATAGTGAGTGTGTCCATGGACTCGTGCAGAATGAATCTGTATTTTTAGAGGCTGCTGTTATTCCATTTTGGGTCCTTTTAATGTTATAATGTTAGTGTTGCTTCAGGCTGAGTGGCTAAAATATAGTTCTGATATTTATTTTTAAAATTTTTTTAGTCTTCGTCTGCGTATCAGTCTCTTCAATGACTGTAGTAAGAACTAATGATAAAAAGGAAGGTGTGTATGGAGAAATGTTTTCCTGAAGGCTCTGAGATACTTTAGATTTCAGGGGAAAAAAAAGGTGACTACCTTTTTGGAAAGCATTTTGGAAAGTTCACTGTTAATGTTGTCAAGGTAGTCTCCATGCATGGTACTTTTAATAACTTAAAGCTAGAAAACCGACCTGTTTCCTAAAAGATATTTTGAGATACTCGTTTAGGTCAGAAGCACAGTGTGTTTAACCCATGCATGTCAGTGAAAAGTACTAGTTGGTTTAACAACATTGACAGTTTTAAAGCTGAAGAAGTAGTCACTAATGTGATGATGATGAATTGTGTTAGAATTGCTTTCCAACCTTAATTCCCACCTTCGACTGTAAATGACAAGCCTCACCACATCTGATGCTATTGCAACAAATTCTGTTATACGTACATAAACAACTCTTCTCTAAATCCTGGTGTTACAGAAACACCTCCTTATTCTCTGTGCAGCACTGAAATGTCTGAGAGGTCAATGTAGGCTCTTACCTGCAGGAGTTTGTAAACTGTCCTTGAAGAATGGACATAAAACACTAGCTGTGGTTGCACAGATGTAGCAGGAATGAAGAGGTGCTGAACTGGGCATGCGATTTGGATAATGCTAAAGGCTCGTTTTCTTACTTGCTTTTTATATTCCAGTATTTAAGTTGCTGCCTTTTTATTATCTTAACAGCTTTACAGTTCTAGGCAGCCACAAATTCTGTAGAGTACAGGCTTTAAAAGTGTGCTTTCTGGAGTGTGAACTGTAGCTTGGATTTACATATTTAATTGTTTTAAAATCCAGATATATTCGGTTGTATGAATTCTACCCTTTGGTCAGTTACAGTACATAAAATCCAGTAACTTTCTCCATGTTTGATGCATTAGCAATAATATCAGTCTTAAATAAATCAGAATTCTCCTGGGCTTATGTAGCGAAACAGCAGGAGAACAGTTAGTGACTTCTGTTAAAGGTCGTGTAGAAAAAGTCGGCTGTATATCTGGAATTGGAATTTAGGGTTCTTTTGCTTAATCTTCATCAAGAGGGGCAAAATGAGGCTGGGATTATTTGCTTTGTGTTTACTGAAGCCTGACTGCCCTCTTATGTAGAACTGACTATGTTGCAGGTATCGGCTGGCTGTAAGGCCTCTTGAAAGTAGCTCATAGTCCTCTTGCTGCAACTTTTGATCCAAGCTATCCTTAGGCACCGAATTTAACTTTAATTGGACCTGGTGTGTGGGAAGGCTGAGGAAACAGGCCAAGAAATGTGCAAGTAGTGAGTGTAATGTAAAGTGGATTCATTTTTTTATGTGTTTTGCTGTTTGTATAATTCATACTGTCTGAGGCATGCAATGACCCTTACAGATATGATGGACACAGGCTAAAGATGAAATTATTATGAACCTGTGTTCAGGCCTAAAAGACAGCTGACTTTTATGGGCAGTATGTGTTCTTTGGGTGGATTTTATTACTCAGAACCTGTGTTCTGTCACGTAAGAAACATGAATGCAAATACATCCAGTCCAATCAATGAATCTTGTTATATGCCAGTTGGAGTAATGTACTGGAGCTTATTTTGGGAGGTGGAGCAGAATGAATGTTCTTAGGTGCTGTCGTGAGTGTAATGCAAAGTTGATTTATTTTTTTATGTGTTTTGCTGTTTTTGTAATTCATACTGTCTGAGGCACACAATGACCCTTACAGATACGATGGACACAGGCTAAAGATGAAATTATTATGAACCTGTGTTCAGGACTAAAAGACAGCTGACTTTTATTGGCAGTATGTGTTCTTTGGGTGGATTTTATTACTCAGAACCTGTGCTCTGCCATGTAATAAATATGAATGCAAATAGATCCAGTCCAATCAATGAATCTTGTTATATGCCAGTTGGAGTAATTTACTGGAGCTTATTTTGGGAGGTGGAGCAGAATGAATGTTCTTAGGTGCTGTAGAATCAGGGAAAGTGAATGTTTGCCTGACTTCTCCCCAGTAATTTTGATAGACACAAAAAAAGAGGAGTTACTTATTTCTTCCCCTTGGTTGAGCTTTCACTTTACCTACTATGCTTTTGTACAAGTAGAAAGAATCAGTTGAATTGGACTTTGCCCACATTGCTGCAGAGTAGTGGGTTGCTTCCCATAGTGGTGATACTAAAGATTTTAAAAAATGCAAGGTAGTGGGTGGATGTGTAAACAGGGAACAGGTTTTTTCCTTTATACTGATGGCTGAATTCTTGATTCCTCTCTCAAACTGCAGTTAGAAGGGAGTGTGGAGAGAAGCCAGGGACTGGCCACAGTGTTTTGGTTAGCGCTCTCCTTTTTCTTCTAGCAGCCTGCACTGGTGTTTAGTGTTCTTTTGTTAAAATCATATATATGTAGGATTTAAAAGGATGGCCTACACGAAACCTGTTTTCTTCAGAACCCAGTTATTCAACAGCTTCTGGCCGTTCATCTCTCTCTGCAGATTAGAAATCTGTGTTTTCCTTTTGACTCTTTCTAAAGCATGTGACTTCTCCTACCGTCCCTGGTTCTCCTCATCCTCTATTTCTGTTGCTTTGGATTCTGAATGGCTTGTCTCCTGTTTCCTCTGTGTCAGCTGCTTGTCTGGTAACGAGAGAGTGGGACGCTGTTTCATCATACGGCAGTTGAGAAAAAGTTGGCTTTCTGGGCTTTCTCAAAGATTGTGTAATGTCCAGTGGTATGTTGAGTCATTATCAGGATACTTGTGGAGAAGACTGAGGAAGTGATGATAAGTATGCCAAAGATGATACTTTCTCTAAGAGGAAATAGAGTAATGTTTATAGCGAGTGATAGGACTGTCTCCTGTATCTTGCTTAAAGAAACCTGCATATGCAGAAATTAGAATGACACTCAGGTGGGATTTTCACCAGCTGGTTTTCCTGGTGACTCAGTCCTAAAGCCTTTCTAGGCAGATGATTAGGGTGTAGGAAAATGCCTATTCTGTTCCGATGGGTGAGTATGGATCCTGGTGATTCTTCCAAGCCTGCTTGCAGGGACACTTATCTTTGGGGTTTTTTTGACTGTTCTGGTCTCTGCTTCCCTTGTGTTACTCAAAGAGCTGGAGTGTGATAGCTGATTTGCACTGCCCTTGGAGGTGCTAAAGGCTACAGCTGGGGAGGCACCAGGTGAGTATGTGGCTTCCTAATCTAGTTTGGAACATTCTTGGCAGAGATTGACTTCTAAGCACCCAAAACAAGGTATGATGCAATGGTATCATTTTCATGCCATTAAAAAAGAAAAGACAGTTTCAGTACAGAAGAAAAATAATCTGATTAAACTTCAGAAACCTTTTCTAATACAGTTTGAGCATATTTTATGTAGCAAGGAGTAAAAGGAGGTTGCTGTTGCACAAAATGTTTTATTGTAAGGTATTCAGAAATCCTTTGTTTGTGGGTGCAGTAGATGTATATACGGTCTCAGTGTCAGGGTTCTGTTGTTGCCATGCTCTTACTTCACCAGAGGCAAGGGTCAGCCTGGAATTTGACATTGTTGTGGCTTCCTGCAGGAAACAGTGAAAATGCTGCTTGCTTTTTGACAGCTGCCGTGGAGGGAATGAACAGTGTTGCTGTTGATAGGCTTGAAACTTTGCCAGGAGGATGCCTGACTTCTGTTCTCCTCTAATGCATTTTTCTGTGCCTTTCCCCATTCCAGGCCCAAATACTGTAGCAACTTAAAAGCTTTAGCCATTCCTGGGCAGCACTGGCCCCAGTATTAACCTGTGTTGTGTTATCTACATGCTCTTTTACTAGTGCCCAGGTATGATTTAAGGGGTATTTATTTTGCTGCCTGATTTTTCTAACGTTCCTTTTCCTCTGTGCCTGTTATCAAAGTTGAGGCCAGGGGATACTACTTCTTACTTAACAGGAAAAGCTATAACCAGAGGCAGAGACTTTTCAGCTGTTAAGTTCACTATCTG